CAAGCCCAGTTACAAGATAAGTTAAACATAAGAATGGGCTAATAAGAACTCTTATCAGCTGAACACAACTCTAATATTCTAACACTAACAACAACGACCTCCACCTTCCTGGGTATCTCCTCTGGCTTCACCCCACTAAGAAGCAAAGTCGTTGACGGATTGAAAGTAAAAACTCCATCTAGTCGTCATCCATAGATTAATGCAACTAAAGTGAAAACTTCTTGCTTCCACATATGGAAAGTTAGCCCAATAATACAATCAGTTACATCATCTTCCACATACAACTTTTTTGCATTAGCTAATGGAGACCATCTCGACACCAAAATATTACCACAATTGACTGTATGCTTTCAGCTTCTAACACCATCACCTCATCTACCGAATCAATGAGTGCTTTGTAGTATTGCACCCTTTAGATTTAAGCCTCTGGTAATAGCGCCTAACACCTTCCTCCAATCCTGAACTTCTCCTTTCACTTCAGCTACTAGTGTCTTCTGCCATTCTCTCTCCAAAGCCTGAACCTCCAACTTACATTTACCAGCATCTCCCATCACAATTAAGAATATTTCTGAAATCTAATTCTTCGAGCTTATGTCTTTTTAATTTGATGTCTCAGCTACCTTGTCTGCTTTACACATTTTCCAAGCACTCAATGAATCCCTGTAACATTTTAGAAATCAAACCCCACCTGGCACCTTTTCTTCCCTCAGTAAAGCAGACCAGTTGATTTCTGCCTTTCCTCAAATACTTATACAAGGCAATGGAATTTCCTTTGGCATTCCTCCTTATAACAACAAATCTTCTTCCTTCTACCTCTTTCGACTTTTTCCATTCCCTTTCCCAGTTCAAACACAAGGCTTCATCAAAAAAACTCTTGAACCAAGTGATAGCTTCTCTATCCACAAGAAACACCATTACTATCTTCAATTCCTTAATCTTTCAGAGATGCCTTCCCCCCAACTCTGAAATCTTCAAATAGAAAAATCTTTGCCTCAATCTTCACTAGCTTCTTCCACTGAGTTATCATAGAGAGGTTGCTCACTCTTCCTCTTTCTCTTTCCATTCCTCTTCCAAATATTGTGCATACTGCCTCCCTCTCCTTGACTGCTACTTCTCCTATGCCTATCCCATTATTAGTAGAAACTGTTGAGGATGAAAGGGCTATTGGACCTATAGCCTTCATGATTGTCCATTTTCAAGCTTCACTCTTTAACAAGAAAATGCATCTAATTTATAGATAGAATCTCACCCCTATCAAAAATCTGAATTTTGGTTAAGTTTCAGATACAACTGTTCATTTCTGATCATTAAACTAGGTGCACCTTTTAAGACACTAATTATATGAATTATGTCTATGCCATTTTCAAATTTCTTTGTTTATCGAGGAGTTCTAATAATTGCAGTATACGACACTTGGGAATCAACTTAAATGCTAATAACTGATATGTGATAAATGCATATAACAGTTGAGATGTCAAGCCTATAATTGTAAATTTCAAAATAAGCAGCTAGACATTTAATAACAATGTACAGGGACTCCAGATTAGACAACTGGGCTCTGACACAAATTTCTTATTTATAAACATAAGGAAAAAAGAATAGAACTCTGATAATAAACTTTGTGAGTAATTTCATTAACAGATGCCACAGGTACTCCCATAAATTACATTACCTTGTTTATAATGAGTTCGGCATGCTTGACAAGAAGCAATAGTGTCTCGCCTGCAGCAGCACTCAAAACAGGAACTAGAGCTGGCAATGTTGATAGATCAAAATCATTTTTATCCTACAATTGGACAGAGAATGCCAAAGGCATCATTCAGTGATCTCCAATGAAAAAACACCAGATTTATCCATGAGTAACAGAGGTCAAATATAGCAGCCATACAACCCACTCCATGAATTTTAGTCAACACATAGAGATCCATGAAATATCCCAGGGTGATATTTCCAGCAATACCAACATTTCAGCCCTTTCCAATTACCAATTATTTAATTAAAACAGGCATACTAAAAATGTCTCAGCAATATAAAGCAATTGGTGGGGCCAAAGGATGAGGAAAAGGAAGCCAAACCCATTTCATCTTCTAGGCCTTTGGTCTTTAAATGGCTCTCATGATAGACCAAGAATTAGATTTTTCAATTTTTCATAGGTCTGTGAACTAGGTCCAAATCTAAGGGCCAGCAAATATACACCAGCAAACCTAAATCTAATAAATCGTTGAGTTGAACTCAAAGACCAAAAGTAGAGCCTGTTTCATGAAGCTTAAGTTGTCGACTCGTATGGACCCATGTGATATGTAGTGGATTCAAACCCAATAAAATCATCTCAAGATTCTCATAATCAAATCTTTTCAAGATTTGAATGAATCCTTAAAATTTGCTAGATATTTTCAGAATTTTCAAGACAAAACATCTTTATTTTTTTTTTAATAAAGTTAACTAATTTTATTAATGAAAGGAGAGGTACACAAGAGGGTGTACAAGTACAAAAGAAAGGCCGGACCCCTAAGAACTACACAGGAGGACAGGAATCACAGTACAATGACTCTAGAATAACTCCTAATTTTGCTAGACCATCTGCAATTGCATTTAGCTCCCTTGGGATCCAGGTTAGAGAAACATTCGTATGAGCCAGGAGGTCCCTTGCCTCTGATAGGAAGTGACTAAGTCTCCAAGGTCCAGCTTCCTGTTGATCC